CATAGTGGTAGAGGTAATAAGAGTATAAGCAGTAATCGGGAAGATTAGGGTTTGGAGATGTTATTTAAAGAGTATAATCCAGTGAAATAAATTTGGAAAGAGGAAAAAAAGGGACATGAAGAAGAATTAGAATTTGGGAGAATATGTACGTAATAAATGAGTCACATCCAACTTAGCACAAGAAACGAAAGTTCACTGTTTTTGAACACGAATATGTATTCAGCCAAAACGCTTTTGGGATGGTAAAGACGATTTTTAGTTTAGAAACAAGATGTTATTGTCCATTTGACTTTATTCTGATATTATCATTATTTAACAGGTTTTTAATTGTTAGACATTCAGAAGAATTATCCAGCATCATTTGTACTCAAACAGTTAGTTAGATGCAAACAATGGTACATCAAAATATATTTGTGTCACACAATAAAAATGAGATTGTGAATAGATAGAGAATGGAACGTGAGCATAATAAAAAGGAACAAAATTGAGTTAGTGTATAAGAGTTAAAAATAATGACAATAATAATAGAAGTAGTTCAGCTACGAAAAATACAACTAGAAAGAATTTTTACAGTTAACGAAGTTACTCTCACCTATATGAAGAAAGTAAAATAAGGTTACAGCAAAACTCCCACTGGCTTCTATTCTGAGCCATGCCTGATAACGTCTATGCATAATCATACATATAAGTGCTTTTATTAAAATGAGCACAAATTTCAGCTTCTCACTACTACTACGAAAAGATATACTCAAATGATCGCTTAACTTGATGATTTTCTTCATTTCATCACAAAATGAATTATCTTCGTCATTTTAGAATATTATACAATCTTTAATTTGAACGTTAATTACTACACCATGGAAAGGTGCACAAACTACCTTGTACACTGTACTAATGGATAATTTTATTCCTGGAGGTTATTATTCAAATTGTACACTGAAAAAGCCACCAAAATGTGGAAGCCAGAAAATGGTTTTGGAATAAAACACATGAACTATTGAACACACAGTGTGATAGTTAAATGTGAATGTTAACTGTGTAAACAGGATTCTGTGTTCATTTTGATGATCGTATTATGACAAATTTGGCAAGAAATCAGTTAATATAATATGGCGATCTTCACTTTGGACACATTGATGTGAGTGAATGGATTAGTTAGAAGTTTGTCTGTGTTTTCTGCTTGATTGCTCGACATTGGATATAATGTTGGTATTTCGAAATTTCTCAAAATAATCGAAAAACATAGGAATTCAACTTTATTAAACTTCCCCGAATCGACTAGATTTATTTACTCATTCACCTAAACACATGAACATTGGTACAAAGGGGCATCAAAATATATGTGCGGCACACAATAAAAATAAGATTGTGAAGAGATGGAGAAAAAAAGTGAGTACAAGAAAAAGGAAACAAAAGTGAATAGGAATTAATGTTTGAAAGTGAAAAAAAATTGGGGAAGCAGTCCAGTCAAGAAAAATACAACCAGAAAGAAATCTTTCAGTCAAAGAAGCTCCTCTCACTCATATGAAAAAAGTAATTTATAACAGGATCGCCACTGGCTTCTATTCTGATCCCATTCTGATAACATCTCGAGACACTATGTTACACCATCTTTAGGACCCCTACCGGGGATTCGTGAAGGACCAACAGATGCTAGTTCTGTAAAGTCTTCTTTCATAACATGACACCATGTCACATACTGATAATCTCTCTACTTTTATGAATCAGTCCCAGTGCCGGCAAATAATAAACGATGTGGAATTTGCTGGGATGACACTCGTAGTGCATATCCAAGCCACCATCAGTTAAATTATCATCGCTGTGCTGGAACACACTTTGCCGAACCTCTTCACCACTAACATGGTGTTGTCAGTGAATGTCATGTCATTCGGAGACAACGACGGCCAAACACAGAGAGTCGGTTGACATCCTCAACTTAGAGAGGCCAGGTTTTACAAGCATAGAGTAAAACTGCTCTCACCGACGCATTGTAGATCCAACCTTTTACAGACAGACTAACGAAGGCGTCAAAGATGGCCCAGACTGACATAAGCCACTTCGACGTAGATTGGTTTCATCAGTCACGTTACCACCAGGACTTACACAGATACCCTCAAATACACGAACTTCTCAACTACTTCTAACTGCCCACTACTAAGAGCGAATGTAGTTACAGGGTCCTACCAGTCTTGTAAAAGTAAAAGGTGCAAAGCATATCCCATACCTACAGACACTGATTGCCAACTGCTTAAGTATGGATTACATGGTTCGGGTATCATCGGATAGTAAGACCATATCATCCATATACTCAAAGTCGAAAAGTATTTCTCCAAGTAACAGATCCACATCATCATTACATACATACATCAGAGCTGTTTCCAGAACGTCATTGATAAAAGCTATACTCAAATACAATATACTTAGAAATATTGATATGCTATATTTGTATTGTGCTTGAAATTATTAGGTACCAAGTTTTGTTTTAATAAAATAAATCAACTCAACGTATGTTTAAAAATTATGATATATCTATCTTCAATTCCACTCAGATTTTTATCTAAAGTGAGTTTTGAATATGTATCCTTTGTACAAATCAAGCTTAAAATAGTAGATCAATTAGATATAATATTTTTTTTCTCTTATTTCATTTTAATCTTAATTGTAGAAAAAGTTAACACCAGATATTAATAATCCAACGATCAAAGCGAAAACCGCATCAGCTAAACTCGGTGAAGTTCATCCTAATGATGTAGAAGCAATGATAAAACTTATGCAACGTTTATGCACAGAATCTAAATGTAAATTATTAGCTGATAGTGATGGCCTATCTTTATCGAATAGTAAATGTCCAAAATGTAAACGTGCTTATTGTCTTGTACATCGTCCAATTGGAAAACATACTGCTTGTCCATTAAACTCAGAACTAACTACTAAAGAATGTGATGGTACTACAACATCTATAGCTTGTGGTTGGGATTCAAATGAAAAAAAGGAAGCATTAAAACTTGCTTTACGAGAACGTAAAGCAAAACTAAGAGAGTTACGTGAACGATGCTGAAAAATGATGTTGTTTTTTTTTAAAGGCTGTGATTTAGTAAAATTTGTTTTATTATATTTTCTTATTTGACATATTTACATTAACTCTTTGTAATATTAAATTTAGAAATGTTTTTAAAATGGCTTCCCTATCTCCATAGATTCTCAAAACGATTTCTTGTAATTTTAATTTTAATAGTAAAATTATTTCTTTTTTTTACAAATTGTAATGCTAGTGAATGGTTGATTCAATGTGGGAGGGGTTGTTCATAAATTTAGTATTGAATAAGCGTTAATGTACAATCACTCATAAATTGAATCAAAAAAACTATAGATTGACCGAAAACTATTCACTAAACATGGTAAGCGGTTGGGATTAACAAACTATTATTTAGAGGAAAATAATTGAAGGGTAATCACATTTTCAAAGTTCAGGCGATGATTAGTCAGTGTATCTGTTGTTAATTTTGAGTGATGTCACGGATTTTTAGTACACTGAAGATGCATTGGTTGTTCACATAACTAACTCGGTTGAACCTCCAACAAACACTCTGATAATATATCTCAGCCCCATTTTTCTCAACGTAGTAATGCTTTAGTCAGTATCGAGGTTTGAAGTGAACACAGTGATAAGTACCACTTTACTTGGTGAGAATCCACAAAGGGCAGATTATAGAAATTATAGTTCCTGGTAGGGAGTAAACACATCATGAGAGTAGCTTGCAGTTTTATTTTGGACAAAACATCTGTTTCATGATGCAGTCTAAACTATTGCTGTCACCCAAATGTTGAACATGCGCTCAAACGGATGTGAACACCAACAGGACAATAAATTGCCTTTCATTCTTACAACAATCTAGAAATTACTTCAAGGTATGTACGCATAATAAACAATTGTTAATTACATGGATAGTTAGTTTTGTCACAGCTAAATCATACATGCCTTAATATTTAGTGTCAAGTGAACATCTGATCAAAATACTTAAGATCAATAATACCACAGTTTAGTCGAAATAAACTCAAATATTACTTTAGTTTTCAGTTACATCAATATAGTTCCCAATAGATAGCGGACGCTTTTATAACTTCGTGCATCACACCACCTATTCCTTTCGTTCAATGTAAAATTCGTATGCAACAGAACTAGTTTCATACATTCTAAATTCGTAATAACTACACCATAACCGTCGACCACATAGTTACATTAAATTTGTATGGATAAAATGAGTCATTACATTGGCTATACAATAAGATATCTAGTCAGTTGTAAAGATAAACTATATCCGAGGTAGCCTTCTCGTATAAATAAGTTTGGCGCTCTCTCTCAAATAAATAAGTTGTTTAGTAGCCACCTGTTTTATGTGAATCTGAATATTCCTTTCTTTAATTGATTTTGTGTTATTCACAATCATAACAACTCAAACTGGATACACTAAAATGTTGCAACTTGTACCCAATTCATATTGGAATTAAACGTTAAAAAAATCTAGAATTTCTTGCTATCATCAATATACACAAACTCAATACTAAATCATTCTTACTTTAAAAGTCCATCTTTCTCTAGAATACTTAATTTTAACGTACTTCCTGCTGTATATTTTGGTAATCATTTTATATAGGACAATAATTGTCAATTCATTCATATTTTACAGTATATCATTCCTAGTTTATTTTATTGTGATAGTACTTTTAACGCTTTTCTTAGGTACCAAGTTCTTATGGATATATTATTTATACTGTAACTTAACTAGTTCACTTTAGCTAAATCGTTTGATTCTGACACGTGTAAACTAATAGTCTTTGAAAGCTTATCATTTTGTTGTTGAAGAAGAAACAGTGAAACGTTTTTCCAGTGTGGATAATCTGTTGCTTTTGTTCCTATTAGTATTACATAGAAATAAGTACATCCGTTACTTATGCCTGTTACCCTCCGTGAAAAAGCATAGGTAGTCGAAAACTAAGTGTCAACTAATACTATATATTATGATTAAGAGAAAAGGACCAACAAATATACAGTTTTACAATTGGATAGCAATTTTAATGTTATTATTTAGTCAAGTGATTTTATTAAAAAAAGAAAACAAACCACATTACAGTCATAAAAAGTCATTTTTAATACATTTTTGTGTTGAATACACTGAAGAATGTACATTGAGACTGGATTAACTGTCAAATGTTAACTTTGAGCAAATCCTGTAGATTGTTTATTGAATGATCGAGAAGGAGCGAAACCCAGGATCTTCTGTACATTCTTTAAAAAAAAAACGTAAAATTTATAGATCTAATAAATTTCGGTTCTATGAAATTAACAATCAATTACTAATACATTGTAACCAAGTGGGTCGGTTACTGACTCCAACTTCACTTTATCTTATCAACTGAGTAAAATCACTAAACCTTATATAAAAAATTATGGATCAAAATGAAGTTGTACTTGATTACCGGGTTGTATTCAATTATTTTTTATTAACATAATATTCAGTATTATCTGACATTTCGTCCATTTCAAAAATGTTATATATATATTGAAACTACGAGTGATAACCTTGTAGATAACAGTTGTTTAAAGTTCATCTTTACTACTAAACAAGAAATTAATTTTGGGGTGAAACAATCGATTTTAAGAGCATATTTTTTTAGTACGTCTCCTAAACTTACTTTCCATACTTATCATGAACACTGTCTATATTATAGATTATGATCCTATCTAACAACATATTTTCTTATAGAGCTCAATAATTTACTCATACGAAAACTTGTCATATCATAGACTTGTCAAAATCCAAATCACACTGTACAATTAAAAATTAAGCCGATAATGGTTAGATGGCCAAATCAAATGAGTAGTCAAAATGGGGTTTTTTTTTGAAAGATTAATAATCACAACTAATTACGGCATCAATTTATTCTATCGAAACAAAGTACATTGAACAAAACTTGGATAACAGTTTTTTTTCCTTTAGCTATATATTTATGGTAAATAACTTATTCTAGAAAGTTCAGTGGACATCTAGGGTTCAAATATTTAAAAATATACTTAGTAGAAAGAATAGAATATGGTAAATTAATACATAGAGGAATAATATGACATGTTTATAATTAGAAACGAAGAACAAATAGGAATATCAAAATATAAAAGTAGAATAACTAAAGTCCTTTTTAGATAATGCATGGAATGAGATGTGGATGTATTTGTCTAAATATTGAGGACAGTAAAAAGCTACATAAATAATCGTACTTATGTTAATTTCTATGAAATTACCTGTCGGATTGACATTGTACACAATATATACACAAAGACAAAAGAAGCATCTGTGAAATCACTGCCTGGGAGATTTCTATGAGATAGTCCTTGAATCCATGAGAAAGGGACAAACGGCAATTTGGCTACAACACGTCCATCAAACCTAATCAGAAGTATTGCGAATAAAATATTTACAATAACACTAACGGGAGTAATATAATAAATTAGTAAAAAATGTAAATTCATTAAACTCACAAACCAAATACAGCTACATATATTCGGCTTTGAGTGAAGTTAAACGTAGGGTATTAGGGAATGATGGTAAATCAGTTGATAAGGTTACCAATCTTCATCAACTGAGATGGGTGGGTCACGTATTACACATTCTCAACCACTGACCACCACGCCGCGCAATGCTGACTAGTGTTGGAGATGGATGGAAGTAAGGGGCGGCCAAAACATGGCATCAGTCCATGAAGTTACTGACTTCTGGTCTGAGCCATCTTGGTAGATGCAGACTACTTGGTTGGGGTCCGCGCGACTATCGTAACCAGTGGTTAGAGACTGGTTCAGAATCGACCACAATGGTGTACGTGTATACACTCTCGTCTTCCCTTAAACCGTGAAACTAAAATTACTTTATACCTTTCTACGAACTAATTCATTCTTCCTGTCATATCCTTGTATACAATCTTTATTAAAAAGATATTACTCCCATTGAAGTAATTGCTTCTATGAATCTGGTATTCATCTTGTTGTGCTAATGAGGTATAGCAACTTGGACCGATGCATATATGTGCCTAGTCATACGTTGTAAATGACTGATTTTAATTTTGGCATACTTTATGTGTGGGTAATGTGCAGCTGCCTAAATCAAAATAGACAAACCAAGGTTCAAATCTGTGACCCAAATTCTAAAAGTTGAGTGTTTTAATCAATAAGCTACTGTCCTACTAAATGGAACCCAGGATTTACGTGATATAATTTGGCAAACAAGTATAGACTGAGTCAAACCAATTGCATGAGAGGGATAGTAATAATTAACAGTTTGCCTAGATCTCGGGAAATGAAGTAATCGGTTGGTTGAATGCCGACTCCCAATGAGCTTCACGTGCAAGAAATAAAAGTCTTGCTGCTTTAATTTTTGGATAAAACTCATAACACAAACGCATTGTCTACGTTGAATAATCAATTACTCTGGTCATAATTTTTCTCTATGAAATTTCTATGCGTAGCTTCGGGACTGTTGTTTTTGTAATTTACATAATGTAATTAATTGTTAGATGAAACTTTAGATAAACGGAATACTTATCACGCTTATCCAAAATGGTCCATATGAGACCGGATACAAATTCTGACTGGGTCAATGACATTATACAAATCAGACGGTAGTGACCATACTACTAGCGAAGTAAAATACATAAAACGCACAACACAAAACAAGAGAAATGTGACATTGACTTGCCACCTACGCTAAGCCTGAGATATCGGGATTTAATTTAAGAGAGTTATATCAAATGTTTATTCCATCTACAAATCTTAACTTTTATCATGGTAGCTAAGCAAAACAATGGCAACACTAATTATACAGAATTATTTTCTTTCTTTGCAATGGATGGTTACAAGTGATTTTTTGAAAACGGTAAAATAAATGATTATTTTGGTTCACATATTTATGATATGCTGAACTTTCATTGAGAAAATGTTATAAACGTCGGTGGAAATAATGAAAATTCAATGTCATTGCAAAAACATAATTTGATATATATCTAGATATTTAACAAAAAGCAAGCAAAGCTAAGAAACATTACTTCACTTTATTTTACATGTGGTTTGAATTGTAAGTTACATTTTAGATATTGTGAAATCGAAAGTTTTTGAAGATAACACTTATTGTCGATCATAAAATATCAGGTCGCAGGACCCAAAATAAGTATGCTATTGGCTAAATAGTAAGACAGCTGACTGTTGACTAATTAACGATATTATACTCAAAGAAAATCATAGAAACGTCCATTTTCGTAGTCTATATTAGTAGCTTTAATGAACTTTAAAAATGCTTTGGTGGCTGATAATTATACTTTTTCGATATTCGTTCTGCTGAAAAATTGGAACTAATAGTCAATTAAGAGTTAAATGTTAACATTTAATTCCAGCTTTTATAATATGTGTAACTAAAAATGTCTAGCATTAATAACAAAACTTAATCCTCACGCTTGTCCAACGATAGCTCTTATACTTTGAATTCAACATTGTCAAAGCATTATCAACTTACATACTACTGAAAACATTGAATAATGAAGTGAATATAAGTCCGACTGCAAACATAGATTTCATTTTAACCTTTTGGAGTGACGTACTGATTAGAGTAAATTTTACTTGCCATAGATAACTCCCGATTAATGTTTTTGAATCGCTCTTCTTGCTTCTCTGAAGAATATTAAAAATGTAAGTGAAATTAATAAAAATTACCTAAACGCTTTTTGGCAGTGCGATCTATAGCTGACTCCGTAACATCTCGTTGCTTCTCTACTTTAAAGATATATAAAATAACAGGTCAAAATACTTACAACGCTTAGATTGCTTGTCTACCTCAGCTTTCAGTTTTTGGTATTTTTCTGTTCTGTATACGAAAAGCCATGTTAAGCCTACAACGATTAATTATATTTAGAAATTTATTGCTACATATTTATACCTTCTCCCAAAAATGCTGTGAAAAAAGATATGCATATGATTGAAAGTGTGTCTTGTAGCATCTTGTCCCAGTACAAATGCGAGAAGATACCTGTTAAGCTGCAGAAAAAATAAAACTAGAATTTTAGGGTTAAAATATTTAAGGCAAAGTTAATAAACATTTATCCATTTAACGTAAAGTATTAACGTCTACACGTCAGTTGCCAGACTAATGATCACTCTCCTTAAGCCTAAGTTCTCGCGCAGAAACAAAAGTAATGAGGTTTACTACTTGCTAATCCTTTCGTATATACAATAATACAGGATCTTTTAAAAGTCTCTACTAAGGCACATAATATAGCTCATGTTTAGTGACAGTAGGATCGTTTTTAAGGCTTCAAGGTGAAGTTTAGAACCATAACTATGAACGAACCTTTGCCCTGCCAGGATTTCACGTTTGGTTAACCTAACGTCTACTTCCGGTTAATTTTAATATTTTGAAAACAAATAACCAAACGTCGGTTGCAAAAAACGTTCTTTCTTACAGACCGGAAGTCTTTGACTGACACCAATTGAATTTAACTGGGTAGTATTTGAGTTGTTTTTACAACAACCCCTTTATTTTTAAAGGAACAACTTCACTGACAGCAATCGGAGGAAATATGGCAGTGTTTTCTCTTGTCACAGATTTTGAGCCAACTGAACAGGGTTCGGTGAATATTACTTTACAGTAACTAACCGTTTTATTTCAGAACATTGACCTGAAAATTTTTTATTTAACAATTCTGCATAAACAGATAAGTGAATGTCCGGCGCTTCAACCGGGTCGGAGAACACAGAGAGTTCACCTAGAGGAGTTGGAAAACCCTGATTCCAAACCAATGGTGTACATAGGATACATGATCCTGAGAGGACAAATAGCCTATGAACCAATTGTTGGTCACCGGCTACCATGAGACTGCATCTCCTGAGGTTGCTACACTACCTTGTGGATCAGACCTCTAGGTCAAAGGCTCAGGGCGTGCCCCCCTAAGAAAGCCACCTGGTTTGGTCTGGAAACCCGGGCAATATCACAGCCCACACACAAATCAAGTGATTTGTGTGGCGCATATGTATTCGGTGCCCCTTTGTACCAATATTTATGTGTTCAATTAAGTAAATAAAACAGATAAGAATGTGAGAGTAAGTCGAAAGAACACAGGCCAATAACAGACAAGCTATTTAAATATATTGACGTGATATATTTTACCCCGCTTACGGAGGTTTTCTTAGTTTGTATTCTTGATATGATGATTAAGGTTTAATTCACTGGAGACTGAGCGATTTGAGGAATCTTTTCTCTCTAATTGCTTATGACATTTACCCATGCTTATATTTAGGCCATTTTGTACATAAGCATGTTATCTCATTTGACGAAAATGGTTCCAGGGTCGTAGTCAGCCACTACTCAGCCAATTTGTATCATTGAATATCATATATCGATTGAAGCACTTTAACCATAAATCAGCTAGTACCTAAACACTCAGTCATCGAAAATCTTAGAATCCTAATTTACAGCAATCCTTTATCTCATTCCAGCACTACATGTATTGTTTCTACAGGGCTAGAGTATTTTGAAGAAACCTCGATTCCGTGACTTGATTTTCGCACAGCCGTACAAAGTTACTTTCGTACGTCACTGTTATCATTTTCGACAAATTCGCCATTGAAAAAGTGGTATATATCGACGACTATATAACTGTGAATGAAATCTCCGAAAAGAAACCTATTTTCGTCACTTTGTTTCATTGTTTATTTCGGTGGAAATTTGCTGTACATTATTTCTGCGGATTTGTTCGTTAGTTAGCTACTCTAACAGTGTTAGGTTAGGGTTGATGTGGAAAATTATACTTCGATGGCAGTTAGATATTAATTTACCACAAAGCTGCAATCACCGCCTAATGAAGTGTACATTTGCTCCTACGAATTATTCTACTTCAGACTTGTTTTGGTTTATTAATTGTCTGCCAGCCACATGTAGTTACCCGACTCCATCAACGTTCTTAACTCATTACGAGTATCCCTTCCATAGCTCATATGACTTCTTTCTACTCTGTTCTTTTGAAGAAACGACAGGGTATTACCATAGGATTCACGCATATATTATGTAACGAATGGCAATATCAACAGTGAAAGCAATCGTAAACACTTATGGACGAATAAGGACAGAAATACATGGATGAAATAATCTGATTTAAGCGAAAATTCCATACTCGCATTACAGCTGATGTTAGTTCTTGGTGAAATACCTATTAATTCACACAGAAAACTTCCTTATTCATATAAAAACTGTTTATCAATCATGATTGTATTGCCATATTGTCACAAATCGTTCCATAACAGAAAATAACTTTGTTGCCGGCTAAAAAGCTGTTTTAGTACGTTCACATACATTAGTTACCCCTGAAAATGAATGGTAGGAAATCACTGTTTAAAAATTTTATGTATAATTTTTTGAATATTCCTAAGTCAAGTGGCAGTAAGGCAAGATTTTCGTCGCAGTGTTTAAAACTTTGTCCCGAGAATTTCTTTCAGTGTAATCAAACATGACTTTGAATAAAGTGATTATTGTTATTTCTGTTATAATACTAACAAGTAACTGTAAGTTATGACTCCATAACTATAGAAAAATTCACTACGCGTACATTTAGAAAGATGATGAATATTCAGAAAAAAGTTGTGACAGAAAAGCACATTTAGTTATGAAGTGCGGAACATACTAACCTCACCAACGAAACAAACTCGGCCGCACAACACGTAGACCAAATTACCCACCTTTCCTCAACCTACGTCAAACGACAATTGTTGTTATGCTGAACTACCGAAATAATGGTTACTGATAATGTTAACATTTAAAAAATGTGTTCGAGAAATAGAACGATGCCAAATTTTGGATTTCCTCGTGGTGCAGTTCGGTAATTTCCATCTTAGTTGTAAATAAATCCCCAAAATAAATAGCTCTGTAAGTCTTCAACGAACTTACCCAGCTGGAGGCGCTCGATCACCCATCCGCACCTGATCACGAGTGGAAACACCGTGTTCAACTTCTCCTGCAACCGCTAGCCAGTTTAGATCAGTCACTTCTCGATATATTGACAACCTATCAAACATGTCTTCGAACCTCCTCGCTTTTTCTGATGGTTTCCGACCAACGGACATTCAGTATTTTGGGTAGACAACTGTCTATAAATACTTCTATCAGTATGATGATGGTTGTGGTAGTTCTCCTAGTTTGAGCTCCGTAAAATAGAACTGTCTTGACGCTTGAATTGAATATTCCGACTTTATCGACTAACAGTTGTTTTGAGTCACATACGCTCTTCAGCTGAAGGAATACTGTCCTTGCTTTAGCAGTCCCCTTCTTTACGTTTGTATCAGATCCTTCACGTTCATCGATGATACTTTCCAGGTGAGTGAATGCTACCATCTCTTCTAGAGTTTCTTCATCGAGAGTGATTGGTTCGGTCCTCTATATGTTGCATTTGAGGATATTACTTCTTTCCTCGTTTATGTTGATCCCTATCGATGCAGAGGCTTTTGCCACACTAGTTCTCTTCACTTGCGTTTGTCGGTGTGTATGTGGAGTAAAAGAGCTAGATCCAAATCATGTAGTTCTCCATCGTATTCCATGTTTCCCATCAAATGTCGATGTCTTCATAATCCGGTCGACCAGCGGAAGAACGAGAAAGATGGAGAGTATGCAGTCTTATCTGACGCCGTCCTTCACTTAGAATGAGTCTGTCAGCTGTCATTCATACACGACGTTGCAATGCAGTCCGTCCTATGAATTCCGTATGATATTGACAATCTCCTCAGCCACTCACTCCATCGTGTCTAAAAATGTTCCTTCTTTTCAGTCTTCCGGCAGTTGTTGCTCCTCCCAAATCTCCTTGCAGTTACTTCTATGTCTGACTTCAATGCTTCATCAGGTATATTGTCAGATCCTACGGACTTCCCACTCTTGAGTTTTCTGATAACCATATTGATTTCTTCGATTGTTGATGGAGTGAGATTTATAGTGTTTGTGTGATGCTTCGATGCACAATGGACCAATGGAGTTGGTCAATTTGAGAGTTCCCCAAAGTGCTTGACCCATCTGTTCCTCTGTTCTTGAATCCGAGTGATTGGCCTGCCTTTTTTGTCCTTGATTAGCCTCTATGGCATGCCGTTTTTCCCTTTTAGTTTCTTTGTAGTGGCATTGGGCCCTAAACACACAGTCCTTAAAGCTGAATACTAGACAACTGGGAAAATGCATATTCACTATTTAACGCGGAGAATAACCCAACGATGGATAAGGCGGTAACAATGAATGGAATTAATTCACGTTGATCGGATGGCATGTCTCGGCCTTGTGGGCGTGGTCCCCGTTGAATGTTACTTCATATCTTTTACTCATATTAAATATATTGTTCTATCTCCAGCCTGAGTGTGTTCTCCATATATTGGCAATTGTTACGATACGATGAGTCAGTGTAGACAACGATGTGACTTCCATGTAAGATCTTATAGATTAGGCACTTACATCATGACAAATCTACCATTCTAGGATCAGATCTATTATTAGAGCAGTACTAATGTCATAGTAGACCATAATTTCACAAATCTTCCTAAAGTCAATTTCGCGGCACATGCGTACATTAGATGTGGAAACTCTACTGAAGTTTGGTTCTTCAATCTCATTTAAGATCTGAAACTGTTTAAAAATATCAAGTTGATAACTCGTTGGAGAAACAAACGCCATCGCGCTTAGACTGGAACGCCTTACCCGAACAAGTGGTATCAGCCCCATCAGTGAATACTTTCAAGGAAAAGCTGGACCTTCACTGGAAAGCAATGTGTCAAGATTAACACAGGTTCGTCAACCTACTATCCTTATTACTGAAGACTGAAGACTGTGTATTTACGAACTAATAATTCTTAATTGACAACCTCTCAATCCTGGCTCCCCCAGGGACGGTGATCACACCGTCACAACCTTCAGTTTTATCAGCAAAACTGAGTTAAGACATCCTACGAACGGCAGACACTAGGATTTCAAACGTTTTGATATATCAGCAATCTACACCAGGTGAACTGATAAGTTCATCCTCAACTTGATATAGACGCTTACTAGGGTTTCTTACTGCACATGAACATCTGTGCTACAAAGCAGTTTGTTCCAAAGACAGTCCCCAAGAACTACAGGCAACCTACAGTCATCAAGTATCGTATTTTTTGCTTTTAAGCCTCAAAAGACACTGCTGGGCGGAATACAAATGAACTGGTAACAACAACGCATTCAGACAATTCAAACATGTAAAGAACAGATGCACAAAGGAAATAAGAGAAAACAGGCTCCAGTACCAGATAAAGCTTATCGACAAATTTGTCTCCAATCCGAAAAACTTATCTCGTCATCTAGCCTCTCTTCAGCAAAGCAAAACTGCAGATCCTAACTGATGGGTTCTAATGCTCCGACCAACAGCGATGGTGACGCCCACGACCTACTGACAGAACAGTACTCTCGGACATTTCAACCAACCCACACTAACTGCATTGATGAAAGCTTCGCCCGAAATCCCACAGGACTTTTAGAACTGAACCCGAGATCTGACTTTGTGTACCGGAAACTGCAGCACCTAAGAAAAGACATTTCTTCTGGTCCGGATATGGTTCATTCCGCTATACTGAGGGAAGCAGCTTCAGTCTTGGCAACACAGCTTAGTGTGGTGCTCTCACATTTACAAAGTCAAGGCACATTACCGGAAAAGTGGAAACTAGCCCACATAGCACGAATTTTCAAATGAGGTCGACGCAGCGAACCTTCAAGCTACCAACTAGAAGCATTTCTATATATACCCTCAAAAATTATGGTGTCCTTGATATGAGACGGTCTACGTGACTACTTACTATCCATGAACTTCTTTCCACCCCAAAAGCACGGTTTCAGAAAAGGTCATTCTTGTATAACCAACCCGCTGACTGTGGTAGACAGATGGGCGACCAACGTTGATCACAAGGGGAAGGTTGATATCATAGCCCTTTAATTCTCAAAATCTTTTGATGGAGTCAATCATATATGTCTTACTAACAAGATCAAACGATTAAGTACCAAATCACCTTTAATCGATTGGCTCACGTCATATCTAAAAGCTCAGCATTTTAAGGTCACGGTTAACTTCACCTTCTCTCAGGCCATGGAATATCCTAGTGGAGTCCCCCAGGGTTCAGTACTAGTACCTCTTCTTTTCTTGATTTATACAAACGATCTTACACGGCACATATCATCAGGTTTATTAACTTTCGCGGGTGATATGAAACTCTGGAGAGAAGTACGAAACCAAGAGGATATGGTAGCACTTCAGGAGGATCTGATTCGACTTCAAAGTTGGACAGTTGACAACAGACTTATCTTTAACACTTCAAAGTATAAAGTAGTACATCTGAGACATGTTGCAGACTACAACTACAACTTAGACAACCATCCCTTAGAGATAGCCCAAGTAGAAGAAGATATAGGAGTGTCGGTATCCCTCGGTGTGAAGTCCTACGCTAACTGCGGCACAAATGCCTTCCGAACAAACATTGCACAGCATATGTTGATGGGTATTCTCGGCCAGTTACACGGAAGGACGTTACACATAATCCTCAACAGTTTCATTCGTCCACATTTAGAGCAAGGAAACATAGTATTTCCTTCCTCTCTTCAAAACGATAGGGACATACTGGAACGTATCCAACAGCGAGCCAAGAAATCAGTTTGGGGACAGAAATCCAAACCTTACGAAGAGCGCCTCCACTCACTGAAACTTTACCCATCAGAGTATAGGCGTCTTAGAGGTGACCTAATGACTTAAATTATCATTAACACATCTAAGCACCCCCTTGAACACCTACTTAAGCTTAGTCTCAACACAAACCTAAGGGGTCATACCCAGAAACTGGAGACAGAACACAGTAGGACGAACTGTAGGCATACCTTCCACTCCTTAGGAGCGGTCAAATTCTGGAATTCGTTACCGGCTGAGCTAGGTCGAGCGACTTCTCAGGACTCCTTTAAGATAAAACTTGGTTTATTCTCACGGACTAAGGATAGTATTCTACTATGATTTAACAACTTTTTCTTTCTCTTTTATCGTTAATATACCAAGGTTCCTACCTCAAGGTATCGGTGATCCACTGCTACTAGATATAGAAGCCCGTTAAGCGATAGCTTCTTCTATTCCATCCAGAACCCTTTGAATCCCTACGTCTGAAAACACTGAATATCATATACTGCCACATTCAAATAGTGCGGAACTTTACTGAGTCATTATGTTTGTATGTCAATTTCGGAGATGATTATATTACCCGTAGCTTTATATGTCATGTATCTTTTCACTAATTACTGTATAGAGGGTTCTGAGTTTTCTTGGCCTATATTGCGCCACAGGTATACTCAGCTGTCAGGTTCATGGTACCAACCAGTGGCGAATTTGAGCCAACCAAATGAAATATACCGATAATACATTTCGAAAAAAGCAAGAACAAATATTCTAGCAGAACAGCACGGATTCGTTTTATTTCGTTGGTTCTCGTCAGCTGCTTACAACGTGATATTTAAAATCATGACTACATAATGGGTTTAAATTACATGGAAGGGTGTGGTTGGAAGTTATATTAAAGACACACTAGTATTGTATGTCAAGGGTGTAAATAAATTGAATAGACTGAATATTGTAAATATATAACTTATGTAAACGAACGTTCTGCAACATTGATTATGACAACAGTTCAAACGACTAGAAACAAGTAACTACATAATGAATAAACGTTGATAGGAATAGAGGGAGTAGAGCTCAGTTGACTACTAATTTGGAAGATAGTTGATATAAAACTCAATGATTTAATAAATGCAGGAGGGAAAATTAAGATGCAGTGAGGGGATATTTGTCACCAAGGCAAGGAAGGATTATTGACTATCTGTCTTTGAACACATAAGTCAGGTTTTTGACACCAGATAGCAACGACTTGAACAAACCAGAAGACTGGAGTTTGGCTGCTTACTAATCACCTTGTAGGATTGCAATGTATCGACCTGATGTCCTGTATCAAGATGTTTGATAATTACACTGTTTGGTCTTTCTTTTTCTTGTTCTAAGGCTTTTTGAAACATGTTCAAAAAATCTAAGATATGCCCTCATTTCTGTTCGGCCAATGTAGCTGCTTTCGCAGGTACACGTACATTTGTAAATACAGTTGGCGGTAACATAAAAGGGGTGCTTGTCAGCCTTTGGTTGAGTTATTGGACATGTTGTTTTATAAAGAATTAAAAGTTTGGCCTCCGGATAAGTTCTGGCTAGCTCAGTGTTCAGTCTGCTGCTGATTGTGTTTGCAACATCATCACCTTTGAAGTTAAGATTTATAGATATTGGTTTTTTATTGACCTTAATTACTTCCGTCTTGTTTTCTTAAGGCTTTTTACATTCCTTAATAAATTTTTGTGGGTAACGGTTGTCCCTTAGGCATTTTTCTACGTTCATCAATTCTTCTTCCAGTTTGTCGGTGGTACATATTCTTTCTACCATATAAAATAGTGTTTTAAGCAATGCCTTCTTGTAATTGATTGGACAAGGACAATTGAAATTCAGGCAACGGCACGTTCCACTTTCTCGACGTTGCCATAAAACGTAGGGGAGACGGGACAGTTCAACTTTCGGTTTGTCGAAAAAGTACTTGGAATGGCTGTTCTGCTAGAACATTTTTTCTTGCTCTTTTCGAAATAATGAAGGGAAATATGCGTATGAAACAATACATTTGGTTACGAATTGTATTTAGCCTCACATTTTTGTCTTAGACTAAAGATCATTAGTTTATTACATATGAGAGCTGCCTAACATCGGTTTTACAATTAAAGTGACATCATACGATCTCCTCAAGATGCAGTTCGAAACCGGACACAATACCGTATTTAACTACGATCTACAATTAATGCGCCATTTTCGAGCAGTTAGTGTGTCTCATTAATATGACAACTAATTGACCACACAGTGGTTTTATTAGCAAGCTAATGATTATATGTTATGTCAATCTGTAAATTGTCTACACTAATTGTATGGGCTACTGACAGTGAAAATCTGCCCAACCCAAAATTGATGGAGAGTGGTTCAAGTTATTGATCAAGGACCGATTTTTTTGGCCACCACGATTATTCCGCAGTATATTTGAAAAGATACTTCTCGTAAAAGCAGCAGGATACACAATGAGGTCTAGTAAACTATTTCAGTTTTATCTTAAGTACAACTACCATTGCCATTTATGCAGACAAGACGTTTCAGGCGTTGAAATGGTTGTTGTAACTTCAGTGGTTGCACATTTGTGTTAGATACTAAGTTTTTCATAAATGGTAGAGATGTTTGCGTGGTAACTCAAGGACATGTGCAGGCTTTTTATTATAAATGTCTTTGAAGCGTTGCTCACGTTTCGAGTAAAAATCAAGTAGGCAATGTTAAGGCTAGGCATACGAAACTAGGCAAAGGTAATAGGTCGGTTTATGAAGTAGTCTTCATCATCTAAGGTGGTTAGAGCACATTTTAGGTATACTTAACCTGCCTCGGGGCACGATGTTTGATAATGTAGGATTAGGCTGATAGAAAGCTAGGGGCTCTTAAACCAAGATATGACATTAATTCATGAAACCATTATCCACTGAGCCGAGGCGTGTTGGTGAGTAAAGACTACCAGGTTGGGGTTCTCGTAGTGATCGCAGCCAGTGGTCAGGGATGATGGCTAATATTGTTCATAATCGTTCACAGCAATGCAGATACACTCACTCTTTATATTCTACTCGACCTTCAGTCTCAGTACTTTTTGATCCCCATTTAGGTTCAATATAATGGAATAGGCAATGATGTAGACGAAGTACGGACCCTATTTCGCTTATGTTCTGTCGACAAACCTCGTTAATAACAGTGGGGTTATAACAATTCAAAGACGAGTATTTCGGATGTTTATATTTCATACATTCGCTTTGGGAGACAAACGAATTATTGAAAAGCGGAGATGGCAGATGTGCCTACTCAAAACATTACTCATTACAAGCGTTAACATATCTCAAAATGGATTGTGAAAAGGAGACAGACACTTGATACAGTAATCGGTATACAGACATACACAAGCATACATAAGATGTGTAAGTGTAGAATTATCAGGAAATAAATATCAAGTATGTACTGAAGGCCACACACCTGAGAACAGTTACTATGAAATCCAAATTGACTTAATAGTTAAAGGCTGTTTGAATCGTGAAATTCTGTTCAAAAGCTTGAATAAATCACTTGTAATAACTGAAGAGCTGATACACTCTTTCATACATACCTTTCCACTCTATATTTTCGAAACTTATCTCAATGTCCAGTCCTCATTATCGTTGCCATAACATTACTTCGGTCTCTCTCACTATTCATTTTGCCAGTTTCATTTCGTTGTAGTGACATTATATGTCGAGTAGGATCAACGTACATCATTGACAGGCTTTACGTTCGTTTTAGCTGGATAAGTAAGACGAGTAGTACAGTAAGGCGAAGTCATTAACGGATCACGAACCTGAAACTGGTCTCATTCTGTAACTGATTTAGAATTCTTTCTCATCACCACCTTTCCAAAATATGTTTCTGTAGAAACTACGTAGTTGGGACTTTTTACAAAGCTTTTATCACTGCTTCATTTATACTGATACTGATATTAACTTTGGTTTTGTAAAGCCATACCTGGTTTAGTTTGTAACTGCTACAAAGATCTAACCACACTGAAACACCCAAGTGACATAGGTTACTTAAGTAATTAATAGCCTACGAACTGCATGTATCTAGTCTATTTCATTTTATAGGCTTCTACAGGCTTGTAAAGATCACTTTTTGGTGTCTTATATTCATTAGTCGATGACCTAGTGTTTCAGTTACCCGAATTTCAACCAATAGATGGAATATTAGAAACCCACTTCACTTCGGTTTGGACAACGGATAATTTCGTTAGCTTCCTTACAAACATGGTTTGATAATATAAATGATATTATTTCATTATTTGTTATTTTGTAATTAACTTCACCTGATGGAACCCAATATAGTGTTTCCCTAATATGCCCATTTCTCTACTAAGTGGCTCCTGAATATATGAATTTCCTGTTCTACCACCTGTGTTACTAAAAAATTTTTACTATTTACTCGTGACTAGTTTGTCGTTACTTTACTTACTGTCCAAGGTTCATCATTCAGAATTTGTGCCTGCACCAAATACCATTGGAAATATGGCCCTGCTACCCTTACGCACAAAATTTCGAGGACCTGCGCCTATGAATATGGATTTGGAAAAAGATATTATTGACGAAGCTCTCTATCTTTTTAAATCACTCATATTTCTTCGACAGTACGAACTAAAAGTAAGATTACATTCTATTCATTTGACCCAAATAAATTTCACGGTTTTGCCATAGTATGTGCCCTTTCAATTGTTATAAGGTTTCATGGAAAAATTAGATTTACATTTTGTATTAAAAGAAGTCACACCTGACCAATGAAGTATATTCTTAATACAAAAACTCAGTTACTTACAGTTAATAAAATGGTTGGTTATAGTTATTTATTATTCCTACTCCCATTTTGATTGGGTTACTTTGTTTTTTAGGAAGTTTATTAGCTTACTAAAATTGGTTGAAATTAAGATTTTATTCACTTCCTAGCCTACCAACTAGTTTCGACAACTTGATAAATATTTCATTAATTAGAGTTTTTCTGCACAAGCAGATAGATAACTACATCTGGAGTTATCCTGGAAAAAGGTTAAATTACACCACAGAATGGAGCTGTGATATGAATAGTTAAACATCCTATTTTCAACCAGTAGGTCCTAGGTTCAAGTGCTGCTTTACCTACTTCGGTTTCGGTAGCCCGATAGTATCTGTCACTAGTCCCATACATCTAAAGCTTGGCTCAAAGACGAGGGAATGAACTTGTATTTGGTGAATGAGTTGCAATATTCACTTATTAACAAAATCGAAGACTCGACTGACACTTACCAACTGACACAATTTTTTTAATTCTTCCGCGTCCTGTGATATCATATAGCCAGTCTGTTTGATGCCGTAATTGTGAAAGAATCTAGTAAAAGAAAGCTGATAATCACGTGTTTAATATTTATTGGTGAAAATATGTCATGCTAGTCAGTTAAATTGGTAAGTTTAAGGACTATATCATAACTTATAGATTTTTAGCATAACTTCACGAGTTATTGACCATAGTTGCCAAGTAACTGACCTATAAGTAGATTTAAGTGTACTACATTTTCGGCACACCTTGTCACTTTTAAACGTGCAAACATCACACTACTATATAATCATGATACGAATTATGTGGCGGTATCTTTTTTGTTGAGTTCAACACTATTTACCATTATTCAATATGACACAGAGTGACTAGAATATTTAAATATCATTCTTTTTAAATAGCGTATGTGTATATATGACTAGAAGAGAGTGGATTGTCATTACTTATCTTTTATTACAGTTATGAGCTCCATACTGACCTTGAACATTTGTCTTGTTTGTAATTAAGTAAATCACTAACACTTATTTAGTTTCTTATATAGTCAATTCGGTAACAAAGAATGGTTAAATCTGTAAGTACTTCTAAGTTTATGTAACAGTAGGTCAAATAGCTGCCAATGAGTAACAATCCTAGATTTCTAGTGGGTTGATATTATTTCATTAAAGTCACCGTTTTCATCACAGATGAATCACTTTTCAGTCAGTCAGTCAGCTACAACGTAGGACCAGGCACATATGTGCATCGGTCCAGGTTGCCATACCGCATCAGCACAACAAGATGAACACCGGATTCATAGCAGTAATTAGGTCAAAAGTGGTAATATATAAGAGAAAGATTGCATATAGAGATATAGTACAAGAAGAAAGAATTGGTTCGCAGAAAGAAAGATATGAAGCGATTTTAATCTCTTAGTTTAAGGGAAGACAGGGAGTGTATACACCGACGCCATTGTGATCGATTGTGAGCCATGTCACCAAGAGTCTCCAACCATTGGTTACGATAGTCACGCGGACCCCAACCAAGTAGTCTGCATCTACCAACATGGCTCAGACTAGAAGTTAGTGACTTCAGGCACTGATGCCACGTTTTGGTTTGGCCGCCCCTAACTTTCTTCCAACCATCTCCAATACCGGATAGCATTGCACGTCGTGGTAATCGGTATTCAGGCATACGTAACACGTGGCCTAACCATCTCAGTCGATGAAGATTCATAACCTCATCAACTGATTTGCCATCATTCCCTAATACCCTGCGTCTAACCTCACTATTACTTACCCGGTGATCCCAGCAGATGCCAGCAATATTTCTAAGGCATCTGTGGTCAAATACTAGTAGCTTACGGGTGTCTTCTACTCTTGATGGCCATGTTTCGCTGCCGTAAATTAAAACAGAACGGACTGCTGCGCAGTGTACTCGTCCTTTTATTGATGGATGGATATCTCGCCTTCACCACAGGTGACGTAATTTGGCAAAAGCCAAACGAGCCTTTCGAATCCGTGCTGAGATTTCATCAGACACCAACCCATTAGGGCTGATCAGACTTCCAAGATAAGTGAAGTTGTCAACGCGTTCGACTACTTCACTCCCTATCCTTATTTCAGGTGTTGACGCAGACCAGTCCTGAAGCAACAACTTGCATTCAGAGGGGGAGAAGCGCATTCCAAACATCCTGGGATTGTTGCTCAGTGCTACCAGAAGACTCTGCATTTTGTCAGCGTCTTCACTCAACAGGACTATGTCATCTGCGTATTCTAAGTCGATAAGTGGACCTCCTGGATGGAGATCAATACCCGAGAACTCAGTCAACGAGAAAGTTATTTCCATCAGCAGATCTATGATGAAGTTAAACAAAAATGGGGAAAGTGGACAGCCTTGACGGACACCACTTGAGGTTGCAAAAGTAGATGACAGTTCGCCATAAGCTCTCACTCGACTAGTAGTGTTCGAGTAAAGAGCCTTTACAAGGTTTATGTACTTCTGGGGTACGCCTTTTAATGACAGACACTGCCACAGAATCTCGCGGTCTACCGAGTCAAATGCTGCTTTTAAGTCGAGAAAGATCACCATTGTCGGACGCCGATAAGTATGCCTGTGTTCTAGAATCTGACGAATGGTGAATATGTGGTCGATGCAGGCACGACCAGGTCTGAAGCCAGCTTGATTCTCTCGTGTTTGCAGTTCACGAGTCTTAGTTAGGCGTCTGATAATTATCGAGGCTAGTATTTTAGATATTATATTAGTTAAACTAATCCCTCTGTGGTTGTCACAGGATGATTTTGACCCTTTCTTATATATTGGGACGATAAGTGATTGTGACCAGTTAGATGGGATAACGTCTAACTCCCAGATCTTAGCTAAAATATTAGTCAACCTAATCGCTAAAATTGGACCACCATCCTTAAAGACCTCTGGAGCCAGTCCATCTGGACCAGCTGCTCTTCCTCGCTTCAGATTAACTATAGCCTTTTGAACTTCAGCAAGAGTTGGGGGACTCAGTTGTTCTTGGAACCTATTTTTGGTTTTCTCGTTACTCAACTCAGTTCTAATGGGTCTTTTTAATGTGGCTTTTTTGCGTCCAGTGAGGCGCAAGCAGATGCGTGCCGTATTAGGGCGTGGTCGGAGTCCAAGCAGGTACTCCAGAATGAGCGACAATCTTGTACCGACCCTCTCCAACGATGACTGATGGCAATATGGTCTATTTGAGTCCATCGTTGATTTGGTGCAGGGGGTCGCCATGTTAGACGATGTCTCTCCTTATGCTTAAAATTTGTGTTTGCTAAAAATAAGCGATTGTCTGAGCACAGTTGCAGCAGACGGTCACCATTATCTGTTCGCTGTGCCGGAATGCTAAAATATCCACCTAAATGCCTTTCTGTTTGGTTTAAGCTACCTATCTGAGCATTAAAGTCACCCCCTACGAGTACTATGTCTGAGCGTTTAGCTTTCTGAAGAAGTTCAGAAAGCTTTCTGTAAAATTCATCTTTCACATCATCTGAGCTGCAGTCAGTGGGAGCGAATCCGTGCTCCGGAAGCATTCTAAATTCCAAATGTAAGTGTTATCACTTGGTTGAAAATATTGTGGTATTTCTACCACAATTGATGAACTCTGCATAAGAACGTAATTTGAGAATCCAACCAAACAAACATCTGACTTACTCCCAGTTTGACAATGATTTCGAGTAACTCAAAACATCAGTCTCTAATTGCTGTCGTGAATACATTAATTCGAAAACTTTGACAAAATAGGAACATAAATCTCTATCAAATGATCTTATAGAGAACAAAGTTTATGAAGATTGCTAGGATCATTCTTATGAGCTGAGAAGATTGTATTGACAAATTATCCTTCATACTAAATAATGCAGAAAAGTTCTTTAAGGAATCAGCAAAAAAAGATGCCATCTAGAACACTGAACGGAAGTTGACTATAATTCTGAGAAAGTGAGTCACTCATCAACAATGACTTCTTTGAACATTTAGTACCATTGGTCTTTTCTATCTCATTACTGCATGGCCCCTTAAAGGTACATAGGGAAGATTTTCCCCATTTGTCCTATAATGGATAATTAATAACTCCCTATACTATGCAGTTGCCAGATGCTTGGGGGAAGTTCTACGACCGGTCGGGCACCAAATCTGTAAGCATAGTTCTTCAGTGTATCAGAGAAAAAAAATGGTGTCGATAGATGTCACTTTTCTGTCTACAAATTTCCCACTCACAGGAACGACTAGTTTCTTATGAGATTATAGTGACTACAGCAAAGTCGATTTCGGTGCCCAAAAGCACTTTCTAAGAGAACTACTTCTACTCTGCACTTTCAACGTGCACTTCAAATTTAAAGTTGATTTCTATAGAGAAATAAATGGTGTGCGATCAGTCCTCTCCTAGTAGACTTTAATGGCCAATCTAGAGAACATTAATCTTAGAGTAACAGTAACATTATTATTTCAGTGAAGATCTCAATTGTGTCTTGATAGAGAATACTAAAGAACATGAAACCTAGGTCCAGGGATTTTAAAAACCATCTGGAAATGAATAGAAGTGTTTTTCGCTATGCTTAAGTTATTTTCTAATCACGAACGATTGGAAGATTTTTTACGAAACGGGATCTATGAGAAATAGATAAACCGAATGAGTAATACACAGTACTTTAACAATAATTCCCTTCTGTATGTAAGAAAAGTCTTGTAAGGAGGATGTATTGGCAAGACTTAATTACACCTAAGTTCATTCAGTCATATATTGATTAGCTTTAGAAATTATCAAATTGAAGAATTGTCACTTAAACACGAAATCACAGACAATGAATGTAATTAAATATTTCGCTAAATTAAATCAAGTAAATAAAAATCCACAGTGGATTAATTGTAACAAACTAATTTTATACTGACCGAAAATTACGCTGATTTAATATGAAGATCATCTTTGAAATTATCACAATCTTTCTTCTAAATTGTGTTTGAGAATTTACATCCTTAACGAAAATATTTCTAAGATTTGCAATTGTTTTATTCAAAATTAGTACCCTTACAAGCTTATATGAAGAAATCGTGCAAACAAATAATATTCGTAGTACTAAGACAACATTCTCACAATTCAAACAACTAAATAAGAACTTTCGTTTAAATTTCATTGAATAGTTTCACAGCATTTAGGCGCTGAGTTGATGTGACACATTAAGGAGGAAGAATGTATTTGTAAAATCTCAGCGAATGAATTTGAAGTAAATCCAACGTTTCTCTTGGTAATCTGATCCAAGCTTTTTCAAGGAAATATAATCAAAAATCAAAATTATCGAAAAAGCTTGGACCAGATTGCCAGGCAAAACGTTGGATTTACTTCAAATTCATTCGCTGAGAATTTACAAATACATCCTTCCTCTTTTATTCATATAACCTTTTAAAGAAGAGTTAAGACGAAATTTTAAAATGATACTTTTGGTTTGCTGACCTGACTAGAAGTATTTTGCTTCTAAAGAACCTAGTATTGTTTCTAACTTTTATAAAAAAAAATTATGATAAGTAACTTCGCATATGAATACCGTACTTCATAATCTTTCTTGGGATAGTGGAAGCTAAGAATCAAGTATTATAAACTATTTTTCTAAAATGGATATCTTGTTAATGTTTATGACATACAAAATTGGATTTATTTATATGATATGTATAAGGATTACACTCTCTAAAAATGATATATGAAAATGAGGAATTGATTCAAATACAGTTAAGGTGAACTAGTCAGTTTATTGAAAAGATTATTTTTAAGTTCCAAACACTGATTTAATGTGTCGTAACCGATTGTTTGTTAGATCATTCTAGCAATTTTCTAGTTCAAATGTACTGAAAAGAAGGTAGATGTTACAAGTGTTTTAATAATTCACTTTAAATACTATTCACTATTCCTTTTTATTGAACGTCTCTTTATTATGTAATTCTTGTATATGTGGCACTTCAGTGTAACTTTTCAATATATGTACTAAAATTCCGTTGTTTTTTTTCATTGTTATTAATTCAGAGTGAAGCTGATCGCGTACTTGTTTATCTCGTTCTATATATTTTGGAATGCTTAAGAAAATTACAAAGGGTATGTTTAAATTCATCTTCACTCTTAAAGTTACAGTAAACATTGATGAAGTCGTGTCCTCTTGAGATTCATGGTTTAATTGTGAGACACGAACTGTCTTATCGGACAACATCATCGGTATAAACTTAAAAAGGAAATGCTTTAATAAAACTTCTTCACAGGTGACTACTAGATTTTTCTGTCAAAATTGAATCTGATTAGTTGTTGCCAACAATTATCATGGAAATTTCACCACAGAATCGCCTAACTCAGAGAACGAGATTTCATCAAGACCATTCTTCTAAGTTACATAACTTCTCAACTATCACTCAGTAGTGAATGTGTAAATTAATAATTATCGTAGACTCGGATGTTCTGATTGAATGCTATTGAGTTTAGTTTAGTGTTATTGAATAGACTTTTTCACTGTCAATTTATCTATTGAACACGAAATATGACTATCACAATCCAGTAATCTGTTAGATTATCGTACTTTTTGGAATGTACACTTGCCGGATTTTCAAGTCATTAGGACCGCCAAGACTTACTGAGATACAGTTAACAAGGCTCAAATTAAATCATGGTTAAATGACTTGGTTTTCAACCAATAGACTACAGGTTCAAATACTTGAATTTGAACAGTTATATAGTATCACCAGACCTCACATAAATAATGTTGCTCAAATCCGAGTACCTAAACTCATACTCTGTAAATGCGTTACACTGAGATATAAAATTAACATTATGGACAAAACACAATTATTGAGTTCCATGGTTTGACCATTCCAAATATAATCACGAAGTGATTATAGTCAATATTTAGTCATACATACGAAATATTTCGGTTCAAAATTCATTGATTAATTCCTATCTTAATATTGTAATTAAAAGAATATTTATGCTAAACTACACAATAAAAATTCATTCAATTTCGTATTTTCTTGTAAATGTTTCATTATTCTATGTCAATTTCCTCTTCTACAATCTACATCATTCTTGTTCATTTTTAATAGCTTTTTATTGTAGTATACGTATGTAAATTCCATTCTCAACATAAACTACTAAATTATACGTCAACATCGCTAACAGAAATAACTATAATGTGATGTACATCGATTGTGATTCCAATTTAGAAAAAAATCATTGTTTATAGCGTATTAGGAGCTTCTTACCATCATTATAATTAGAAGATTGAAGCTTTGCACATCTAGTGCAGTTGAACACCATCAACTAGCAAATAATAATAATAATAATCACAGTTGAATTCACGATTCGATCTAAGCTAGACCACCATTGAAAACCTGAAAGTACTGGGCGGCCGTTTCGTCCTATTATGGGACTCCTCAGCAGTGCTCATACACGATCTTGCATCCGGGATTCGAACCCAGGACCTTCGGTCTCGCACGTGGACCCTTAACCTGTAAACCACTGAGACGTCATCCAACGGTGTTAATGTCCCGAGTGCGGGACCGTGTGTGCGCACTTCTGAGAAGTCCCATGCTAGGACGAAACGGTTGTCCAGTACTTCCAATGGTGGTCTAACTTAGATTGACTCATGAATTCAACTGTGAAAGTACTACAACTTCCACAAATCCCCAAAATTGATAGTAATAATTGTTAATTATGTATGTGTTATCTATCCTTGATATCTTTAAAAGAATATGGCTGAGGATGTTTGTGGACTGAACTTGAAGTATCAAATCTTTAAGAGCTGTTTATACTATCTTGATCGTTTACATGAAAATCGATATTTTCAAGTGTTGATCCGTGATCTTTTAGGATATGAATCAACGAATCAACCATTCATTGTTTTATTCAAAATCTTTGAAATAAACATTTCACATATTCTTTCGGCTTTAAAATAAGCTCTTTCATTCAGTCCTGACAGAGAACCTCTAATCATGTTTATATTTCATTCCCTTATCTTGCATATAAATTGCTTTTAAACGTAATTGAAATGATTAATTCTATACAGACTATAGTTTTAGTTATACTGTAGTGAACGAGAACACAGTGAGAACAATCGAATGTATTTGAACACAAAATTACAGAACATCTTACTAAAATCTGAGAACCATACATTAAATACTTGATTTGCAAACTGTCAATCAATTGTCTCAAACCCGACTGTTCCTTTTGCAAATATCGGTCAGTCGTCTCAGACTTCATTGTTCTTTCGTTTCCACACCAATCATTCTTCATCCTTGTTCTCTTTCCTTAGATCTTCTTAACCTTCCGCCGCTAGTATTTCACTTGCGATTGATGACATACTACTTGTAACTGTCGACATCAGTAGCACACACTAAAATACCCCTGTTTCATACTTTTCATATTCTAAGATACTTTCATGATAAATCTAAATTTTTGTTTTTACCAGTGTCCAAATAGAACTTCTGGAGCTAAAGAATTAGCTGCAATGGCCATAAGTCGTTTTGATATACCAGGTGATCCAGATTTTCCTCGAGAATTAAACAATATGTATGCTAAACCGAAAAATCCCACAGAAATGGAAACGATGCGCGGTTATTTAACTCAGTTAAGACAAGAGTTAGGTGTACGATTATTAGATAAAGTTTACCGTGATGATAATAGCCCACCTAGTAAGGTAAGAATAATATTTATTTGTAAGAGATTTTTATACCTTACATAGTATTATGAATCGAACTTCGTTATCCCCAATTAATAGGATCATTAAATATTTGAGTTGACTAATGGTGATTTGCTTTACGCCAATAATACTAATAGCCTTCGCTCAACTATTATGCCCACTAAGTGTGCTAAAGTTTATTGGCCTATCCAAATTCGTTCTGTTCTTAACCTGTCCAATCAAAACACTGGAATGGTATACCCATTTACTTTCTGTTGTTACAACTCAATTACTCACATGATGGTGTTATAAACCAATTACAAGACCACAACGTATCATAAATAGGACATCACAATCTGTACATAACAGCTCGGTAATTTGTTTTACAAAACTAAATAATAGATAATTTATAAATGGTAAGAGGATATATCGACAATTAAGACATTAAAAATATCTTCAATAATTAATAAATACATAATAAGAATATATATTTACTAATCCACTGTAGAATGATCTTCAAAGATTCAGTTATTCCATCCGTATTTTTCGAACTGATTTTGAATATTGATGTGTATTAAGGCCAAAAAAAATGATCATTTGTATTATTATTTCAACTAAGTTTAAAAAGAAATATCCAATCTGGAAATTATAGTGCATCATTCTTATATATTTTCTCAGATTTTTTTTTTAGTATCTATGATTAATAACCTGATTAGATCAAGTAGTACTACTCTAGTTATTTGGTATACTTTTGGAGTTAACTCATGAAAGATGAGATGTTATTTCTGTCATCCATTGAAGTATCATTCATTTGTCAGTTTTTCCAATCATAAAAGATCGACTAAAACTAACTACTGTTTTCGATTTTTTTAAAAATCCCTCTTATTGAATGAAATTAAATCTAATATGATTGTTCACTAAGCTAATAATTTGCAATTCCAATCTCAAAAAAAAAAGATTATAATTAAAACTTCGATCCTGCTCTATTCTGTCGGCCTACTAAATAGAGAAAATCTCATGATTGTACACTAGCTTTCTTTAAGTTAATTGGATTCTATACAGAGTAAATTCTGTGATTATTAATTACTGAATTTATCAAACCGAACAATCACTTGAATACGAAATCTCAGTGAACTAATTAATATAAATAAGAAATATCCTGAAAGTAAATTGTGAATGATGAAAATCACTTTGAAACAATATGGAAATTCTAAACGTGATTTACTCTTAAATTTATTGTATTTAAGAATTTCATATTTTCAATAAAATCTTACTTTCTTTTTCTAAAACTTTAAATAATTTTTAATAATAAATTTTCAGTAAGGGGTTATAGATTGATATCATGAATGGATCTATGTTAGACCAACATTGAAAACCTGGAAGGATTGGACGGCCGTTTAATTCTTTATCAAAATCTCAGCAGTGCGCATCCATGATCCCGCCCCGCGAGACTCGAATCTAGAACCTATCAATCTCACGCGCGCGAACGCCTAACCTCTAGACTACTAAGCCGGCGTGTCTAACTTCAAATGATCCACGAAATTGCGCCACCATTCACCATTATCTATGTATAATCATTAAAATCTCCACAAAACCCCTCTCTGATTACTATACATTCAAAGCATAACAAAAAGTTGGATCGATTAGTAACTTAAATAAGTCGAGATTATTTATTTACTTATTTTATTTAAACACATAAACATTGGTACAAGGGAGCACAAAATAGATATGCGCCACATGAATCATTCGATTTGTGTGAGGGCTGGGATACTGCCCGGGTGCCGAAACCGAAGCAGGTGGTTATCTTAGGAGGCCACACCCCGAGCCTTGGACCTAAAGGTCTGACCCACAAGGCAGTGGATCATCGTGAAGAGATGCAGTCCCATGGTAGCCAGTGACCAACATTAGGTTCATACACCATTTGTTCCCACAGGATCATGGAGCCCATGTGCACCATTGGTTTAATGCGCCGGACATTCGTTTTTCGTCCTCTCAATTTCGTAGACAACACCCCCGCCACGAGAAGGCAGTGAGTATGACTTCCCTGGCAGAGGCTATATATGCGTGGCCGAGTGAGGGCGGGTCCACTCCACTCTCGGCCATACCAAGGCATTTGGGGCAATAAGTTGAGATAATTTAGTTTATTAATGTAACTTATATTTTGTAATTATTCTTTGTAACAACGGGTAATCAAGTGGATAATTATATTTATCTTATAAACAATTGAAAAAATCATTTGTAAGGGTTACCTGAGTCTTTCATTTGTTGATGTCAAAACCTGCAACTGATCAGTCTTTTGTAATATGTAGATCCTGTGTCTGCTGCCTTGATATTCCCATTAACTTACAAGCATTTTAAGCAATCAACAAAACCCAACATATCCTCTGTTTATAAAGGTGAATATTTGTTTTTGTTAAGAAATAGTAATACATATACCCTTCGTTGTAAGTGTAGTGAACGAAAACTCAGGTACGGTAAACTAATTTATTGTTTCACGCAAAATTACTCAGTGACTATGTAAAATATGAAAGTCATACATTAAATACATCATTTGCATATCTTCCTTGAGTTGTCCTTTATATACTCCATCATTCTTTTAATTCTGTTGTTCTTTCGATTGCCCTTTAATTTCTTTTCTCTTCTCTATTTCAATCTTCTGCTAGCAGCCATTCTACTTCCGATTGGTGCCACATACTACTTATATCTGTCTACAGAATTAGCATACGCCACACATATATTATTCGTCTATGAAAGGGTCATTGAGATGGAAAATCACTGGGATCTCCTATCTAGCAGGTCGCTAAAATCAAAAATGTAAACCGACGCATTTTAACCTTGGACCACCTGATTGCAATGGCATATAAGGTCAACGCATTCAGTCCAAGCTATCAAAACACAAAATTGCACACTAGATGTAAATCGGCAATATAGAAATGTATTAGATTAGGGATGAATAGCAGGATTAACATATTCATTATGTGAAATAATATATTTTTAATGTAACTCGTTTGAATAGGGTATGTTGATATTATTCGACCTTAGCCTATACTGTGTGAGAGAGCCAGTCATACTGCTAAGCTGACCAAATCGAAGTGAATTGGAGTTCAAACCCAGGACCGACTAGCTAAAAACCAAGTTCTTATGTTAAGCCCACATACCCTATTCTAGCTACTGGACAGGCCAATCTATTAATTCTACTTGAGTCACATTTTGACCTTTTTAATTATTCGCTTATCAATCTTGACTGTTTTTATGTAAGCGTATGTGTGTACACATCTTATCCCATTCATCACATGTCTGTAGCTTATTTTTGTGACTATAAATATTGATTAACGCTTGGTTAAATTGAGTTGGCCCACATGCCTTCTCCACTGCGCGTCATTTCGCTTCGTTCTCCAATATTTTGTCGGGATCAAAGATTGTATGAAATATACGTAACGAAATTCATTATCGCATCTGACTTATTTAATTCCGTTATTTACTAACGCAATTTAAGTCGATAAATATATACGAGGATTAACGATGTGTATTTCAATAGCAATCAGAAACGACCAAACTGGAGTCAGATCACGGGCCACTAAAGTACTGATCAATGTGACTCATTTCAAGTCATGCCATGTAAAGTCTTTTAATTTTATATCCTTCAAATGATTTTTGGTTAAGTCTATTGAAGTAACCTGTAGAATGCTAACTCAGCGATTGGTAATACTTCTGTAGTCAGTGCTATTCCGACGAGTTGATCTTATCTTTCTAATTGTTTATTATCATTTTTATTACAGTGGTGGTTGTGCTTTGGTAAGCGTCGTTTCATGGATCAATCTTTAACACCATTGGGAGTTTTCTAAGAAAAGCGTTTTTTTTTACATATACTCTGAGTATTTTATCGTTGTTTGTTTCTCTTCTATAACAGTAACTTTCAATTTTTCTAATCTAATATTTTTTATTGTTTACTTGAATAAACAGATTGTCAAATAAATTTTCACTTCTTATAATAATGATTATAGTATACCAATATCGTTCACGGCACGTATTGCGAATTTTCTCATATCACTTAAGTTCTAATGTTTTGATTGTTAATACTTGATCGCAAGGGTCAATAAATACGTTAGCGGCAACTTCGTAATATTATGTAATAATTAGCAAAACTTATGTACTTAATGAATTTCTTGTGACTACTGTGTATTATTGTACTCGGAAATTCGTGTTAACTTAATTGTCATTCTAAGGTTGGTTCAACATCAGACAATGCATATCAACGTACACTAAGTTTAAAAATCGTTCCCTGGGACATAGTTCCATTGTATTTGAGCACTGATTTTATTTAATCCTTAAGAATATTATTAGGTTTATGGGATTAGAAAAGATTTGATAAAAATATTCAAGAGCATAAATGAAGTCATATGTTGCTTACTAGTAAGACAACGCTTATGGTCATATGGGCGTTCACCAGGTAGCCCGCTTTCCTCCTATCCTTCGTGTTATATCAGCGTGCTTACTTTGAGATTCGCTTAGCTCTATGCTTTAGTCAAACATTCAATGCACTGTAGTGAATTTTCCCCGACATGCTAGTTTAGAATCAGTTTTAGTAACATAACTTCTTGGATATCACTTCGATCCGTAATACATAAATGGACGGATTGTAATCTGATTACCAAAGTCCCATTGTTCGTTTATTTTTTATTTGCACACATACATATGTCTCAGTGTCGGTCTGCAAGCCAGTGTATCTATCCTTGTGAATCATGTCTGGTCGTGGCAAAGGTGGTAAGGGTTTGGGCAAAGGAAGAGCCAAGAGACACCGCAAGGTGTTATGCGACAACATCCCGTTGTTCGTGGTGCGTTTAAGAATCGCGATATTTAAACGATACCAACCCTTATTATTATCAATTACTTATTTGCTGTCCTGCGTGGTAGTACTGACAAGTAGTGAGACTTGGTAATGCAACTGACCATTCGAGTGCAGACTCGGGGATTTACGCGGCAACAACACTTCATCTTTGAAGATTGGTGGCACTATCCGCCTACTCAGGACGAGGTACAAGACTTGAACCTAGGGCCCAGTGTTGGAAACACTGACCATTACCCCACTGTGTGGCAGTGCACATCCTTCCTTCTTGGAGTGCATGTTTACCACTTTCATCCAGTGACTATGAAATCACATTTAGGCACCATCGTAAGTAATCCGGAAGTATGTTACCGTATAAACGGAAGTCACACCCAGCGAAATATCAGACCAATCACCAAACTCGGACACAAATACTTAACCTTTGAAGTGGAAACCGGGCGCCTACTGCATAACTTCTCAGTCGAAGCTTGGAGTGAATATCACATGGCTTCTTTCGTTGGTTTAACACGCACTCTGACCTGCCATACACCACCTACGGCAGATTGCTTACGGATGCATTCTGAGGTGGTGTCAACAAAAAGGTCATAGACTACTTTCTTCGGATACGCAGCTGAGACTAACTTTAAGTACATCCAAACCTACATCTTTATGTCGCACAGCCACGTCATAAGACAATAAGAACCCAAACAGATCTCCAAACTTCAGTCCGCAAAGTGAGGACAAACAAGAACGCCGCTTCTTTTATTCTCAGACGACGTGAGTTTGGAGAGTCAAGGTAAGCGATGCCGACTAGTCCAGCGCACCGGAACACTGGATACACAAAGACCTGGGTTTGCATCCACAACTTGAGAATAACTGCCGACTGAGGAACCAGTCGCCAAAGGCCTCCAGTCTGCCATACGCTTCGGACCATACATGCCAAGCTCGAAAATCGGGCGCCACCTCGCTAGGGACACTGACAACCGGCTCGCCGGACAAACCCGAGCTTGCGACACACTTTAACTGCACCCCATGACGATCGACTTGGATACTCGAACCATTAGCTTTATTGGGACAAAAGGTGATCTCGCTAGGTGTACCCCATCCCAAATAATGATCCGAGTGTCAACACACCCCACCATTTTGCCCGTTCGGGTTTATCATTCCCCAAGATCACCACAGGAAGCTTTCATTAACGTATGGTAAAGAAAAACTAACCCAGACACAATACAAGAACCCACTCGTCGAACGTCTCCAGGGGTAAACTAGGTTTTTAGTGAGAGGTACTACAAAAATGAGAACGAGGTGACTTGATGTTCAGATAACCAGGAGCGTCCTAGATTGGGTATGACGTTAATTTAGTGACTTCAGGAAGCTAGGATTAGAAATATGAAAAACAGAACCAGGTAATTGCACATTACGCATATTGGATGTGTACATAAACATTTATTAAAAATGCAAAATGAATGAACTGGTTGAATCCGATGAATATACATCAATATGAACCGGAACGAGATCGTGATAAAGAACCACGCCTATGTGCAGGACTTCTGGAGACAGCACGGTTGTCTCTCCGATCATTGCGCCGACTGCCTTTGCGTACTTCATCACCATTATCCATGCCGTCATGACTTGCCGACCGCGACCTGGTGGGAGACCTCGATCTTGATGCTGACCGATTGGGGCGCACGTTATTCATTCGCCTTCGTGAATCATCTCGTCGGTCGTTAGGGCGACCGCGATAGTATGGTTCGACCCCTTTTTGTCTAGAATTGGAGTAAGATCTAGACACAGTAAGTAACAAACAGAAGATACTCACCTGGAACGGGATCTAGAGCGATATTTCCTCCCACCTCGATGAGGCTCGTCTCTCCTTTCTTTTAGACGCATCTCCGCAGGAGCTGTTAAGTGAAAGTCGAGAGAAAGCACGTTAGTTAAGACACCAATACACAACAGGCTATAAGTAACTCCCTAGCTTTGCATAGTTAGTTGTACTAGTCGCACTCCCTTGGCAGTCTATGTAAGATGTTTCAAATATCCTTAATAGTTATTTGGCTTTACAAGTCGAAAATCAATTACATAAATACATAAGACAAGGAACTCAGAAACTAAAGTATCCTTACTTTTACGATAACCTCGGGTAAACTCGACTTCGATATCGCGACCCATGAACCGTGTGTGGTCCATGTAGTAATGGGCATCTTCAGCGTCTCTAGGATTCTCGAACGTTAGGGGTTAGTTAAGGACACAAAAAAGCATTTATCAACCAAAATACTCACCAAAAAGTGACTTGAGACAGGATCCTATGTCATTGTACCTGGATTGATTGGGGGACTGCCCTGATTTTGTCAACTTAGATTTGTTAGCAAACTAATACAATTGGACTAGCTTGGCAGCTGCAATCGGTGACCAACTGATCCCGACAAATTGAGTTTGTGTGAAACTTTGTAATTTAACCAACTTGGAATTTTAATTGGATTGAGATTGTATACATGTGTTTTGACCACTGAGTACTTTGTAAGTATGCGAGCTGCCATATCCCTTGTTCAACTAGACTGATTGTTTATTTAGTGACGAACAGAGTCTATGATTATTGGTTGATTGTTTGAAACTGACTGGCAACTGAGCCGATCAATTGGGATCTATTGGTTATTTTGGCTTGAGTTTAGTCGTGCCTGTGAGACGAATACGGCAAACATTGAGATTAAGTGAATTGACGCGAGGGAAATGCAAAATGAAATATTATACTGCAAAAGGATATTCAATAAATGCGTAACCCTTCATTCTTCCAGTGAAGAAATCGAGGGGTATTGTTACGTCAACAATCCTGCCATAACGGCCAAAGCAGCGTCTTAAGTCGTCATGTCTAAAAGAGATAAGATTAATGTGGATGGACTACAAACCTGCATGTATCAGGGAGATGGCGAATATACAAAGAAGAACTGCGTCGAGGCATCCTGCGACTAAGGCAACACAACTCCTCCTATGGCAGTAATGATTTAAACAACTAACAGTTGTTCAATACATATTTTGTGAACATTACAAATATTGCAACTTTCTCCCTGAAGGGATATAAGGCCGAAAACCTGTATTAGTTTATCCTCAGTATAATTTTATGCGCATTCAGTGTGTTCTTGAGTGGATTCAGTTGTTATGCCATCGTAGTGAACTCTTATTAGGCCTGTAAGGATAAGCTATTCGCTTTAAAAGTATTGTTCACGTATCCTTGCAGTCCAAGGAAATAATTCTCCTGAATCATGGGTGTTAGTGGCAAAATCAAAGCTACCAGGGCATTTCGGCGACTGGACGCAGGTTAGTTCGTTACTGACATTACTCAACGAACATTGGGGTATGCCTACCTAAGAAGTGATAGAAATAGATCCTGAAAACTGGTTCATCTTTTTGTACCCGCTCATTATGATGTGTATGTTCTATTTTATGTGCGATTCTCGTGGAAATCGGAAATGCAAAGTCCCCAGTTTTTAACCTGAACGTTCAGGCTTTACATTCCTTGGAAACTGTTCAATGATACACGAGACAGGGCGTCTGTCACTACACTGTTTGCGACAGAAATGTGTCGTATGCCTGACGTAAACTGTGAAATGTAGTCTAGTTGTTGAGATGCGTGAGAGCATTACCGGTGTGAAGACGGGCACATAGAGAACGTAAAAGGTTGATGGTTGCTAAATAGAGTGAGTTCTTGGCCTTCCACAGTATTGAAATTGCCGTACAGTGCAATATATGGTTAGGAGCCCCTTACCGAAGGTGCTATACTTCGAGTCAGTGTCTTGCGATCGTCTTAAGAGATATGCCAAAGGCTTCAGCTCTTGTTTACTCATTGTTGCAAGACTCCAATTACTGAATCAGATGGGTCGACTCCAATACTAATGGGTACTTCGATATCCTGATATGCGTGCATAGTTATTTTCGCGATAATTTCCTTAACTGTGGAAAATTCAAATTGATGGGATTCGCATCCCTACGAAGTTAGTCTGTTCAAGGTCTCGAGAGAGACGCACAATTCGGTATGAACTGTCTAAAGAAACATACCAGGCCGTTGAACGTACGTCATTGCTTGACTGCGGTCAGTTTCAGAGATCCTGAATGGCCTCCTTTATGCTTTTCAGAGGACGTATGCACTGTAAGTCAATAGTATGTCCGAGAAATTTCAGGGAGTCCGTTCAAATCCGAATGTTTATAGTAATGCTGTATTTTTACTATCGTTCGGAAGACGCCATCGATGAATCTCTAGAAAGTATCTTCAGCATTTGTTAAACCGAAAGGCATGAGCGAAAATTCGTGTAATGTGAAAGCAGTGATGATAGCGGTTTTAGGAATGTCGTCTGCAACCATAGGAATTCGGTTATATGCTCTGACCAAATTGATTTCCGAAAAAACAAATGTCCCTTTTAACGTGGCTGTTATGTCGTGGATGTGTGGCAAGGGTTAATGATCTGGTGTGGTTTTCGCGTTCTGTCACCGAAAGTCACCAGTTGAACGCTATTTATTGCTGTCCTTTGCCGGGATCATGTGCAAGTGAGATGCTGATGGGCTGTTCGATGTCTGACTGGGTATAATCTACAAGAAGAGAAAGAAGTTACACAAACAGATAAACTAGTGTTCCCGTCTACTAACCTCCGTTTGCACGTGTTGATGAGTAGATTATGATGTTGCACCAGGTCTATACCAAAGATTGGCATGGAAAAATTTACAATAACAAAGATCCAGTGCGTGTGCTTGCGTAAGCCCACGTTAAGATACGCATATTGCTTATCGTACGTGGCAGTTGGTTTTCCAACTTTCGCCCGTAATTTAAAGACTGGCTCGCGCAGGCCGTCTTTGGAATTTTCGGGAAGAACGCCGACGCCTGAGACAGTATGGACGAGATATCGAACGTTCGCCGTCACACCAATGACATACAACAGACGGCTGTGTCCACCGACTACGGTTGCCGCCAAGGCATTACTTACTTACTTACGCCTGTTACTCCTCGTGGAGGAACATAGGCCGCTCACCAGCATTCTCCACCCAATCCTGTCCTGGGCAATCCTTTCCAGCTCCTTCCAGTTGTTGTTCGTTCTTTTCATATCTGCTTCTATTTCCCGCATAAACGTATACACAAAGCCACATGGATCTCACCGGATCACATCACAGAGAACCAGATAGATCATATCTGCATCAATAAAAAATTCCGAAGGACAATGGAAGAGGTGAGAACCAGGAAAGGTGCTGATATAGCTTCAGCTAAAAAAGAACTGGACAACTGGACAAACAGCAATACAAAGGTTCAATACAGCCTTCCTTCGAGATACTGACCAACTCAATGAATTCAAGATAGCTCTCAACAACAGGTTCCAAGCCTTACAGGATCTACTGAAGGAAGAAGAAACTACTATGGAGGACAACTGGAAAGGCATCAAAGAAGCATTAACTTCAACGTGTCAAGGGGTTCTGGGTCTCAAGAAACATCATCATAAGGAATGGATCTCTATAGAAACACTGGACAAGATCAAAGAAAGGAAGAACAAGAAGACAGCAATCAACACAAACCGAACACAAGCATATAAAGTCCAAACACTAACTGAGTACATAGAAGCAAACAAGCAAGTGAAGAGCATTAGAGTTGAGAAGAATAAGTATGTGGAAGAACTAGCAAAAACGGCGGAAAAAGCTGCTAGAGAAGGAAATATGATACAGCTGTACGATTTAACGAAGAAACTAGCAGGAAAATACAGTAAACCAGAGAGACCGGTCAAAGACAAAGAAGGCAAGCCAATCACCGAAATTCAACAACAGCGTAACAGATGGGTAGAATACTTCGAGGAACTCCTGAATAGGCCGGCTCCAATGGATCCACCGGACATCGAAGCAGTACACACAGATCTTCCTATAGATGTCATCCCACCAACGACGGAAGAAATTAGAATGGCCGTCAGACAAATCAAGAACGGGAAAGCAGCAGGACCCGACAACATACCAGCTGAAGCACTGAAGTCAGACATCGAAGTGACTACAAACATGCTTCACCTTCTATTTAAAAAGATTTGGGAGGAGGAACGAGTGCCGATGGACTAGAAAGTAGGACACATCATCAAGATTCCAAAGAAAGGAGATCTGAGCAAATGTGAAAACGACAGAGGCATCGCATTACTGTCAGTACCAAGAGAAGTCTTTAACAGAGTGTTGCTGAACCGGATGAAAGATGCAGTAGATGCCCAACTTCGAGATAAACAAGCTGGATTCCGTTAGGATCGGTCGTGCACAGACCAAATTGCGACACAACGGATCATCGTCGAACAATCAATTGAGTGGAACTCAACACTGTACATCAACTTCATTGATTATGAAAAGGCATTCGACAGTGTGGATAGGAGAACACTATGGAAACTTATTAGACACTACGGAGGTCCTGAGAAGATTGTCAATATAATCCGGAACTCATACGACGGACTACAGTGCAAAGTAGTGCATGGAGGTCAGCTGACAGACGCATTCCAAGTAAGGACCGGAGTCAGACAAGGCTGTTTACTCTCTCCCTTCCTCTTTCTTCTGGTGGTCGACTGGATTATGAAGACCTCGACATCTGAAGGAAAACACGGAATACAATGGACAGCTCAGAATCAATTAGACGATTTGGACTTCGCAGATGACCTAGCCCTCCTATCGCGTACACACGAACAGATGCAGATGAAGACAGCCAGTGTAGCAGCAGTCTCTGCATCAGTAGGCCTCAACATACACAAGAGGAAAACCAAGGTCCTCAAATTCAAGGCGGATAACAGCAATCCAATCACCCTTGATGGCGAAACTCTGGAAGATGTAGAATCCTTCACATACCTGGGAAGCATCATCGATGAACAAGGTGGTTCAGATGCAGACGTAAAGGCGAGGATTGGCAAAGCAAGGGTCTCATTCCAACAACTGAAGAACTCAAAACAACGTTCAACCAATATCAAAGTGAGAATCTTCAATACGAATGTCAAGGCAGTTCTACTGTATGGAGCTAAAACTTGGAGAACTACAACAACCACAATCAAGAAAGTACAAGTATTTATAAGTAGCTGTCTACGCAAGATACTCAACATCCATTGGCCGGATACCATCAGCAACAGACGTTTGTGGAAGAGAACAAACCAACTTCCAGCTGAAGAGGAAATTAGGAAAAGACGATGGAGTTGGTGTATAGGACATACACTACGCAAATCATCAAACTGCATCACGAGGCAAGCCCTAACTTGTAATCCTGAAGGGAAACGGAAAAGAGGAAGGCCAAAGGACACATTACGTCGGGAAATAAAGGCAGATATGAAAAGGATGAATAACAACTGGCAAGAGCTGGGAAGGATTACCCAGGACAGGGTTGGATGGCGAATGCTGGTTGTGGGCCTATGTTCCGTCACGAGGAGTAACAGGCGTAAGTAATTAAGTTGTTCTTTAGCTTCGATTTTAAATTAGTCATAATTAGGTGGTGATCTGAAGCTATTTCAGCTCCCCTTCTGCTTCTCACATCTTCCATTGTCCTTCGGAACTTTTTATTGATGCAAATATGATCTATTTGGTTCTCTGTGATGTGATCCGGTGAGATCCATGTAGCCTTGTGTATACGTTTGTGTGGAAATATTGTGCCGCCTATGACCAATTTGTTGAATGCACACAGATTTGCAAGTCTTCCTCCCTTTTCGTTTCTCTCTCCCAATTCATGTTGTCCCATGATATCTTCATATCCGGTGTTGTCTATTCCGACTTTGGCATTTAGATCTTCCATCAGAATGGCGAGGTTCTTTCTTGGGCATTTCTCTATCACTGACTGCAGCCGCTCGTCGAATTGATCTTTAATGTCGTCGTTGCTATCATTGGTGGGTGCATAACATTGGATAATATTCATTGTGATCCCCTCCTTCTTTGTTTTGAATGATGCTTTGATGATTCTGGATCCGTGGGATTCCCATCCTACAAGTGCATCTTGCGCTACTTTGAACAGCATAAGAGCGACTCCCTGAGTGTGTGGAGCATTGTCCTCTTCGTGACCGGAGTATAGCAGCATCTCTCTCA